AAATTTTTCATTCGTTCTTGTTGCCTAGAGTTTGCTCCCCGGAGGTTTGGCTTCAGATCTGCAGAGGCTCGAAGGGCTCGCTCCCGCCGCTGGGTGCTGAGATGACGGCGGGCTGCACTGTGCGATGAGCCAAAGACTACATTTCCCAGCATTCCAGGGGCGCACAGGGGAACCATAGGTCCCGGCGCGCAAAGAGACCCAGGGACTACAAATCCCAGCATTCCATAAACCCTATTCCCCTGTAACTTAGACTTCAGTGTGCCGCGCAGTGTGCGCAAATTCATAAACCCTCTCTCAGGTTTGGTGGTTTTTGAATCCCGAGAGTTGGGACCAGGCGGGAAGACCCTCTTCACTCTAAAAGAAGATGACAGCCCACAGAGAGGTAACTTCTGTTTACATGGAACTCAGAAATCTCCTGCAAATCATGGTAAGGCTGCAAACAAACAAAAACACTGATTAAACCGTGAAAGATAATGTAACAAAATAACTCCTTAAAATCATGTTGGTTTTATGGTCTGGAGCGCCTTTTACGTGTTTTGCGGGGGTTTCTATTGTGTTCCTGCGTTGGACTGGGAGAGAGTGATTGTATACCCAGAATATAAATACAGGAAAGGACTTTAGAGAATTTGCTAATCCGACCCCTGTTGTTTTACAAATGAGGAAACCGAGGCCCACAGAAGCGAAGAGATTGTCCACCGGTCACAGCAAGTTGGGGTAGAGTTAGAATTAGGCCCTAACTTTCCTGACCCCGCTATCTGAGCTTTTTGCAAACCAGGCTGGCGATATTTTTAGCAGCATGGCTATGTGATTGTTATTCTCCTTGGTGAAATTTCCTCATACAGGTTGAAACCACCCAGAGGTTAGGTAAGCATTTATTTGGTGGATTTCCTGTAAGTGTGATTTTTGTTCATCTTCACTCTAGGTAGGACTTGGTGTTTTGATTCATTCTTTGTTGCTCAAGGTGACATTTAATGAGATTTCAGGAATAGTTGTAGTGTAAGTTAAGGTTTCCTTGGAGATTTATTTCTTTTTCTAGGCCTTCCTCTTTTTGTTCCCCTTTAACCCATGTGGGCACCCACCCAATTTTTCCTTCCATGTAATTCAACAAACAGTTTTCTCAGCCTTCCTTATTTGCCAGGCCCTCTGTCAGTAAAAGGTAAAAGACATGGTTACTGCCACAGGAAGATAATAACCTAGTTAGGGAAACGAGGAGACTCCACTGAGATTTGAGATGGAGCATGATAAATGGCATAAAAGAAAGGACATCAGAATGCTACAGAGGCTGTCATGAAGAGATGTATTCTAGCTGGCAAAACGATAGAGGAAGTGGCATTTGAATGTGAAGAATAAGTAGAATCTTTTTTTTCTTGTTTAAAAATTTTCTTTAGATTTTTAACATTCAGTAAGGGCACAGTGTGCACCTGTGCATATGTGTACACCTGTGTCACCACCCCCCAAATCAAGGTATAGAATTATTCCAGGACCTGTTGTGCCCCTTTACAGTCAGTACTGCATCTTCCCATCCCAATAACCACTCTTCTGACTTACAGTATGTACAATATGAATGTCTTTCATTCATCAATATTTTTGTGACATTCATCTGTAGCTTTTTTAAAAAAAAATTGCTGAATAGTATTCCATTGTATGCATATAGCACTGTTGATGGACATTTAGGCTATTATCAACTTTTGGCTTTTATTAACAAAGCTGAAATGAGCAATCTTTATTATAATTTTTTAATTGATTGATTTTTTTAGAAAGAGCAAGAGAGAAAGATCCATTGATTTGTTCTTCCACTTATTTATGCAGTCATTGGTTGATTCTTTTTTAAAAAAAATTGATTTTAGCCTTAGCTGGTTTGGCTCAGTGGATAGAGCATTGGCCTATGGACTAAAGGGTCCCAGGTTCAATTCCGGTCAAGGGCACTTGCTCAGGTCGCAGGCTCGATCCCCAGTAGGGAATGTGCAGGAGGCAGGCGATCAATGATTCTCTCTCATCACTGATGTTTCTATCTCTCTCTTCTTTTCTGAAATCAATTAAAAAATTGATTTTTAGAGAGAGAGCAAGGGAGAGAGAGAAATATTAATTTGTTGTACCACCATTCACAAATTCATTGGTTGATTCTTGTATATGCCCTGACTGAGGATCGAACCCAAAACCTTGGCATATCGGGTCAACGCTCTAACCAACTGAGCTACTGGGGCAGGAGTTGCAATGAGCATTCTTATGTTTCTTTTTGTGGACTCGTGTATTCATTTACAGGAGAGGAGTTGCTGGCTATGTTGGTCAGCAGTAGTAGATATTGCCAGTTATGCAAGTGTTTGTAGCAGTTTTCACCTTCACCGGCAATTAAAAGTTCTAGTTCACTTTTAACCTTGTCAATACTGGGTGCTGCCAGTCTTTTATTTTTAGCCATTTGGGTTAAATGTGGCATCTCATAACATAGTTCTTATTTACAATGTCTCTGGTGTTGAGGGCCTTTCCGTGTGCTTATTGGCTATTTGGATGTCTTTTGTGAAATACTTGTTCAAATCTTTTATTTATTTATTATTTATTTATTTATTTTTACTGGGCTGTTTGTCTTCTTTTTTTATTGTTTGTCTTCTTATTGATTTATAGTTCTTTTTATAGCCTGGATATGGAATTATATATGCTTGCAAATATCTTTCCCAAGTTTGTAGCGTGTCCTTTCACTCTCCTTACTGGTGTATTTTGATACACAGAAATTCTTAATTCTAGTGCAATAGTTGTGTTTTCTTTTACAATTAATGCTTTTTACATAAAGTTTAAGAAATCTTTGTGTACAGGGTTGGTAGGATTTTATTTTAAAAACTTTTTTTTTTTTTTAACCAGGATTTCTTTTATTAAGTACAATATGAAAGGATTCACAGGTGCTGGACCAAGATCATGGTCAGGAATGTGGAGTCCACATTGGGCCCTTGTCAGTGGTGCTCTTCAGTCACAGCTCATGTTTGAGTTCCTTATACAAATGGCAGTAGTTTAAACACACAGAAGCTGCCAGCACCATAGAAACCCCATCGATGCTTCCTTTCTTGACATTGGTATACTTGTTGTAATACCAGTAGAAACCTCTTTGAAATGCTTCAGCAGTGCCTTTAGGGGTGAAATTCCGCATCAGTATTCAGCTTGGCAGCTCCCATTTTGACATCCATGAGTTTCTCCTCCTTCAGTGGTACTAGTGACGTCATCTTGGAGTTCAGGGTATTGTTGGTGGGATTTTAGCAGGGAATTATGAGGGGAGAGATTTGCAAAGAAGATAGAGCTAGCTCGAGGCCCTGCTGTGAGTGAGGGTGTAGTTTGTGGTGGGCAAGGCAAGGCCTGGAGTTTGGGCTGTAAAGAGGGTGAGGCACGACAAAGATGGGAGGGTAGGCAGGAGGCATAGTGCAAAAGGCTTTAGCTGCAGTCTTGGAGTCTGCACATTGTTCTGGAGGAAGTGGAGGCACTGCTGGAATATTGATGGTAGCGCATATGGTCTAAATGTCTCTAACAACATCCCTTCTTTTACATGCCCAACTGCCACTACCTTTTCTTCAAGATCTCACAGTCTCCTATCTGGAATACATCAAGTCACTCAAGGGTTTCCCTGCTCCAGTTCTCTCCACATCCAATCCATTCCTAGAGCAGCTAGTGTGATCAGTCTAAAATGGTAATTATTCATAGCTCTCCACAGCTTAAAACCCTAAGCTAGCCCCCGCAATGCCCTTAAGAGCAAATAAAACCTCTTTTATATGGTTTTCACCCTTTGTGATTTGCTTGCTTATTCTTCCAGGCTCAACTCAAGTCTCATCTTCCCCAGAAGTGTGCCTTAGATCTCTTCTCCCCAAGGAGAGCCTTGCCTGTATTCCTAGGTGCCTGTGGCAACCATCTATCATAGTCAGATAGGCCTGTCTCTTCCAGGGGACAGTAAACTCTCATAGGTAGATACTTTGCTGTATTTACGTATTTACTGGGTATGGTGCCAGGCCTGTGGTTTCCAAGACCCTGGATGACCTGATTCCAGCTCTGTTTCCCTAATTTCTGAAACCTTGGTTCCAGCTATTCTGGATTTCTTTTCTGCATCAATATATGTTGCACAGTGCAAGCCTGTAACTGTGATCACTGCCCCCTTTTCTTCCCATTTTTGCCTTGAAGATGCCTGTTTTTTTTTTCTTCCTCCTCAACATACTCTCCTGTGCTTCCAAAGTGCTGTCTCTCATAGCACTTAACACATTGAAGCTTTTGAGGGCAAGAACCTTGTTTTTTCTTCATATAACATTCTAGAAAATAATAGGTGCTAAAGAAATTTTTTGAATACATGAATGGGTTGGTGTTAGGCTCCTTCACATCTGTCCTGATTTCTGCACTCTATAAAGCACAAAGGGCAAATAGAGGTCTTTTCTTCATCTTTAAGACCTGAAAGTTGGAGAGTCCTCTTTGGGGTACACCACTTGAATCTCCTTTTCGAATGAATTTTCTTTCTCCTAAGCTCTAAGGCTCCCCACAAGATTTGCAACCAGTGGAGCAATGGGCAGCAGCATTGCTGTCTCCAAGGCCCCATGTTTTTCTGACTTTTCAGTGAGCTGACAGCAGCCCCGCCTTGGCTCACCTCTTTCCCATAACATTTCTAGAGAGCCAGAGCACACCCCACCTAGGCTCTCTCCTGTTGTTTCTTTTATCCTAGGCCCTTCCTTGTTTCACTGTTCCCAGCTTTAATAAACATATTCTCAAAAAAAAAAAAAAAAGCCTGTGGTGTATACTGTACTTTAAAGGAATCAACCTAGCCGAAACCGGTTTGGCTCAGTGGATAGAGCATCGGCCTGCGGACTGAAAGGTCCCAGGTTTGATTCCGGTCAAGGGCATGTACCTTGGTTGCGGGCACATCCCCAGTGGGGAGTGTGCAGGAGGCAGCTGATCGATGTTTCTCTCTCATCGATGTTTCTAACTCTCTATCTCTCTCCTTTTCTCTCTGTAAAAACTCAATAAAATATATTTTAAAAAAAAATAAAGGAATCAACCTAAGTATTCAGTTATGTAGCCATTGCCCTAACCGGTTTGGCTCAATGGATAGAGCATCAGCCTGCGGAATCAAGTTATGTAGCCATCTTCCAGTGGAGTTGGTAAGTCCCAAATGCAGCCATGAATGTCATTTTGGTCACAGAAGCATCGTTGACTCAGTCCAGCTCTTGCTTATTTAAAACATTTTTCTGAATAGATGTCAAGAACATGGTCTTTGGCTTCAGATAGCCTAGGTGCCAAAGCAGACTTTGCTACTTACTGGCTTTTGGATTTTTAGGCTTAGTTAATTCACCTGAAAAATGGGGATACTACTGTAGGCCATAAAGTTATGAAAATTCAACAAGACAATGTACAGCACTTAGCACATGGAAAAACGATTAATAGACAGTTATTAGGCTTAAAATGTCTCCATACGCCAGGGTAGCTGCAGTCGCCATAGGGAGCTCCTGGGGGTAAAGCTCCACCAAAGGGGTGGGTTTCAGACCCAGGAAATGGTGATGGTGATAGTTTGGGCCCCAGGACCGCCTGAGCGGTCGCCAACATTTCGGACCTCGCGGACCCCCGGTTGGCGACCGCCTACCCGATTCCTGGGCTACAGACCCACAAGGACCCCTTCCCCAGCGAGGAGAACCTAGTGTGGGCGGAACTCGAGTGCAGCAGCGGGAGGCTTCCGGGGGAGCGGTAAGGCCGACGGGTCGGCGGAGGTAGAAAAGCGTCGGACGCCGGGTCGATCATGGACGCTTGACAACCTGCGGGCAGGCGCCGGGAGGCCGAGACAGCGACCTAAAGGACGGAGAGACCGCGAAGACAGGTCGGGGCCGGCGAGAAGGCGGGACCCAGCAGGCCAGGTTAGTCGGGGTTGTTCGGCTTCACGCCCGCTGCCGGGAAAGCCCGCGGCCGCTCTGCCCCGCCCCCGCCCGGAGAGCGCGCCCCGCGGCTCCTCACTCGCCGCTCTGTCCGGAGCACGCCGCCGCCGGTCCGCCCTCCCTGAAGTCCTTCCCCGCCTGAGACCCTCAGCGGCCGCCCCGGGGCTCCTCTCGCTTCCCCATTCCCAAAGGCTGCCACTTTGCCCTCTGCTACCCATCAAAATAGTGCCCCCCACGACGGAATTCACCGTCCCTGCGTCTCTAGCCTCCTCCTCGGGCCCGCCCACTCCAGAAGAAAGCGATTACCAGCGCCGCCTCCTTACCTCTTTGCCCCCACGGGCTTTGCTTTTCAGGCCGATATATATATATATATATTGAAGAACCGAAATTTCTGCCCATTTGTCGAATCCGTTTCCTCCCTAGTCCCTTCCATTCAATCGCTTCACACGTGTTCCACTTGGAAAGGTTTTCGTTCATCCTTTCCTAGCCATCACCTCCCCCTCTTCTTCCTCCCACCTTCTCTCCTTCTCTTCTCTTCCCACTTGCCTTCTCAGCAACCTTTATTCCCTGGCACTTCACTTTTTTTGTTGGTTTGTTTCCGACAAGACCTTAGTGACCTTAAGTGAGGCGACAGACTTATTTCTCTAATACTGTAAAAGGACTGCTGCTGCCCTGTGTGCCTGCTTCCCCAGGAAAACTTAGTTTCTCTTGCACCAAATTATCGTTCTTTGAATTGTCCTCTGCTTCAGCTTACTATAATTCTTCGCCTTCATTTTGTCATCCGGCCCAATACGTACCATTCTTGGAGGAGTAATCTTTTCTTACGCAGGATTCCTGTGCAAGAGGTGTGCAGTGTGTGCGCGCACATACACTCAGCACGTGGTTAGACTATGCAGTCGAGGGACTCTCCTGCCCCTAATGTCTTAAGGGCGGCAATATAATATCTTCATTGTTTTCTGGGTGTTTCATACACATTCTGAAGTCAGGTTTAGTAAAATGTCACATATCAAGTAGGATATGTGAAGGCCAAATTGAGGGATTTTTTTTTTCATGGACTTACACACCATGTATTTTCTTAGTTTGAATATGTTGCTGCTTATCTTTCAAGATGATTTCCCCCTTTTTTCTATGCTTAAGTAACTTTTCTGATTAAATGAGACATCTTTCTTGGTCTGTTTTTGGGTCTTTTCCTTATCTGTACCTGGCTGTAGGTGGGAGTCTAATGACAGACTGGGAGCTGTAACTGATTGCTTTTGCTTACATCTGCCACCTCTGTGTATGGGCAGGTTTTTCTTTTTCTTAACGAGTCTATAAATAAGGTGAATATAAAACAGGTACTGGAAAACTCCTGTGTGTTTCTTTTTTTTTTTAATATATATTTTATTGATTTTCCACAGAGAGGAAGGGAGAGGGATAGAAACATCGATGAGAGAGAAACATCAATCAGCTGCCTCCTGCACACCCCCCACCAGGGACGTGCCTGCAACCAAGGTACATGCCACTGATGGGAATCGAACCTGGAACCCTTCAGTCCCCAGGCTGACGCTCCATCCAGTGAGCCAAACTGACTAGGGCTCCTGTGTGTTTCTTTCTTTCTTTTTTTTTCCTGCACACCCCACCAGGGACGTGCCTGCAACCAAGGTACATGCCACTGATGGGAATCGAACCTGGAACCCTTCAGTCCCCAGGCTGACGCTCCATCCAGTGAGCCAAACTGACTAGGGCTCCTGTGTGTGTTTTTTACTTATTTATCTTCCCTTAAGCTGCACAACATACATAAACTCAGAGAGAATGGGAAACTTATTTACAGTTATATTGTAAGTCCTGGCCCATGTGAGGAATTTCATAAATGTTTTTAGGATTAACTGACAAGTAAGTGAATCTACTCACATTAAACAAATGAATAGTTCTACTCACTCTAAAGCCCTTTGGTTCTAGAAAAGTCACTCATTATCCCAGCTCCTATCATGATGTGTTCCTCAGCTGTTCTTAACCACCAGTCTTTACATAAATAAATTTAATCTACTGTGACAGAGTGTGACTCAAAATGCCCCTACACATGGAACCTTTCTTGAGCCTCTTAGTTATGAGTGACTTCTTCCACTTCTACACTCTTGCTATAATTTCTTTGTTCCTCTTTTATGATACTGAATGTAATTTTAAATAAA